AGGAGATTCCTCACCTCCTCGACCACCGTCGGAGCTCTTCCTGCCACCTGAAGACGCCGGAACTCTACCGGGTTTTCGGGAAACGCCAGGAATTCGCAGAACTTTGTAAACTTCCTGGGAGAAACAAATTGTATTCTGATTATCCCAACTTGTGGGACGAATCAGCCATCTGTAATATGCAAAATCACTAGTGGAACTTTACAACTGGGCGAGGCCCCGTGGTTTTTTCCCTTTTTGGGTTTTCCACGTAAAAACTCTGGTGTTTACATTTTCTTTTCTGTTTGTGTGCGGAATACTCGTGCAACGCTAAGACGAATATTTCCTAACTCTACTGCCACGTATATTCTAGCACGCAACAATTATAACTTTTTTTTTAGTCTTCGGATTCCTATATAAGGCAAAGAGCCAAGAAAAACATTTTGGATATTCTTGTTATTCTACTTAATTGATGTATGAACTACAAATTATAATCATCATCATCAATGAATATCTTAAAATCATGATAATTTATGCGTAGAATAATAAAGCATAATTTTCAAATATAATAATGTTTTTTAATTAAAAAATTATAAATTCGATTTTTTTTTTTAATTTTCAGAAGTCTTAAAATAAAAAATAAAATATATTTTCTCCAACTGGACCTCATTACTTGTAGACGATGGGAGTTGTGAAAGACTTTATACTGTGGAACGTGGTTTAGTGGAGATTATTGATAACACCCTTTGGTTTTATTCAAAGGGATATAATTGGGTGACCCATCAATCATAAGCGTTCATTGAAACTTTGGTGCATACAGGTGGCAGTTTTGCAATAATTAATTTCCTTTGTTTAAAAAAGTTTTAAATTTGATAACAATTTTTTTTTTTTTTACTTATACAATTAGAAAGGGAAATTTCTTTGAGTCCTAACCCAATTAAAATAAAATGTAATTTAAAGTTTTAAAGGTCTTCCCCTTCCTTTTAATTGGAAAATGCAGTTGCATAAAATAAAATTTCACATATATTTTTTTTTAGGGGTGGCCAAAAATAGTCATATTTGGAAGCTTTAAAACATTAATTAGGTGATCAAATGATATCCAAATATATCATGCTTATAGTATAATCAAGGCTCGATGAGACAAATCCAATGAGCCCAAGATCACTTAACTATGATATTATCAAATATCAAGGTAATTAAATGCTTGAAAAACGCTCAATGATTGAGGGAATCAATATGGGCCGTCCGATGAAGTACTCAGAATTTTCTTTTGATATTCTTCATATTTGCGGAGTATGTCACTCCCAAAATATATAAATAAACCCCTCCATGCATGAGGGGACCTTTGGAGGATTCGACCTTGGGCTAAAGATCAAGAGACATCTAAGATATGAAGAATCTCGGAGCTCCACTAAGGAACCGCCACCTGCGAACCCTCATTGACCAGTCGTTGTGTTGAACTTTCACAGGCTGGTTGTTTGTTAAATGCCCACCTAGTTGACACCGCCAAACCTCATACCAATCGTTGCAGCTAGAACTCCGCCTACCAATCATTGTCGGACCTTCGATAAACCATTACTGTTAGACATTTGTAGCACCGACAACAACGATATTTGGACCACAGTCGCCTACCGACTATGGTCCATCCGACCTCTACTACCCGTCGACCTCTACCTCCCAACAACAATCACCTCAATCCCCCAATTATGGTCCCTCCGACCTCTATTGCCCAAATATGATCCATCAAATCATCGTCATCTGACTATAGTTCCTTCAAGCTCTATCACCCATCTAAGACCACTCTGACCATAGTCCATCGGCTATAGTCCCTCAAACCACCATCGCATGAAAATAGTCCCTCCGACCATAAACACTTACTGATTATGATCCCTTATACCATCATCTCATGACAACTGTTCGCCCGATAACAGTCCCTTTGACCTCTATCATCCATCTATATATCTCTGATCGTTCTCGCCCTCACACAATAACAGTTCCTTCGACTTCAGTAGCCTGACTATGGTCCTTACAAACATTGTCTCCCGCCAATAATGGTGCTTCAAATCTTCGTCGTCTGCTGACTACGGTCCCTCTAACCACCTTCACCTGGCTATAGCCATTCTGACCTCCGTCACCACAGCCTATGGTCTAATCGATCTATGTCTCTCGCCGACTACGGTCCCTCTGATCATCGTGGCCCGACTACGATCCTTCAAGCTTAGTCGTCATACTCCGATCCTTCTGACCTCACGTGCTAACTATGGTCCTATCGACCAAACAAACAGACCAATAGTCTTGAGAACAACTCTCATGCAATTGGATTCTTTCAACTCAAACCGTGTAACATGCTCTAAACAATGTATATTTGTTATATCATGCTAATACCTTCCCCTGTTGAAAGGTATTATTTGTAATTAATAATAAACACTAGTAAAATTATTTTAATATAGTCATATCTCATAATTTTTCTCCTTTTTAGAAATTTTCATATAAAAATTCTAAAATCTCTTATGATTCTCCCACCCCTCTCTCTTATTTGTGTGTGCATTGGATTTTTGTACAAAGCTAAGAAGTTAAACTCTGTCTCTCTATCTGTGCAAATTTTCTAACATAGTTTCTAAAACTATTTATGCATGCGTCAAAGTAAAAGCACGTCAACTAAAAACCTCAAATAAATCAAATTAAAAAATATCACTCGTGAATTGAAATTTTCTTAATAGTTTATGGAAAACTCTGTGTAAATAAAGAAATATGATTTAGTCGTGATAAGTTTTAGAAAGAGATCTATTAAAACATGAAATTGTTAATAGCGTAGCTTCGAACAACCTCAAAAGTATATAATCGCATAAAAGTAGCGTGTAAAATATTATTTAGTACCACATCGCTAATTTTCATTACGTTTTGCTACTCTATTGAGGGAGCGAGAGCTAGCTGGCACATGTGCTGCTGGATGGAGTGATTCGGCCCACGGGCTGTGGAAAGTCCCCGGGCCTTAACACAGAAATGTGAATACAGTAATGTATTGAGATCTTATATGGGTCGGCTTGAGGCTGAGACACGTGTGGAGCTGATGATAGCCTCACCCACAAGATAATTTGGCCGCATCTTTACAGTAATTCACTTTAACCTCAGTGGTTAACAGAACGGGGCTTACATCACAGCAGCACTCTTTTTTAATTTTTGGTTGAGCTAAACACGAAAAAAAAAGTAAAAAAAAAAAATTAAAGCAATTAAAAAACTAAAAAATAAATAAATAATTAATGGTTTCATTTCTCCATGCTCTACATCCACTTTTTATTGCTTTCTCAAAGCATAGGATATATTTGGGCATGCTTTAACCGACGAATTTGGAAGAGGTGGACAAACAATGTCCAAATCTCAACCCTCAAGTCAAGTCCAGTTATACCCATTTTGTGGAATGATTATTGCGTCGGGACACTAAACGTGTCCAGAGACCAATAAAAAAGCGCCACTTCATTGGGCGCTTGGTACCGACAGCGGTACCACTCGGTACGTTGTCCGGACATAATAATTTTTCCATTTTGTTTGCCTAAATATCAATTCCAGATGCATTCATCCTCCCTTAGGGAAGATCGGTCGAAGCTGGAGCGAAGCATGCCTGCTCGAAACTGCCTAGAAGCTCACGCCTAGAATCCCAATCGAAGGTCCCAATCACAGCATTGGTCCGTTTGAAAGCGCAATGCATCAACAATAAGGCTAGAAGCATCAGCCCCACCCAATTCCCTCTATTCCATAGGAAGAGACATAACAAAAACGGAATTTGATTAAAGAAGTATGTGGAATGGAGAAAGATACTTTCCTTCATTGCAAGCGACACGAAAGAACCCACTTGACCTCATAGAAGAATAAATTGTTTGTCTCCCCCTTTCGCGGATTTATGTGATTTGGCCGAAGAAGCGTACGAAAGGGAGAAAGATAGTTACCTTCACAACGAGCGAGGTCCTATAATTGCTTCTGAATGTCGTGCCTTCCGATACGACAAGAAGGGAATTTTTTCAAAGGAGTGAAAACAAATAGCAACGGAGGAGGAAAAAACAACTAGGGGTTATTGGGGGCTTCGCTCTCAGGCGAGCATGATTTCCTTTTTCACTCAAAACAAGCGGATTTCTTTTACACAGAAATTGGCCTGCTGCAGGGGGTTTTAAAATACACAAGGATTTCACTCCACTTTGTGTACAACGGTACAACCAAATAACAAAAAAAAAAAAAAAAGAAAAGAAAGCAATGCATTTAATTTACCTTATATAAACTTTTGCTCCAACCAAACAACCCCTAAGCCTATTGTTTGGGATAGCTTCTAACCAATGTTTTTATCATACTTAATCTGTCCTAAAAAATTGTTTTAGAAATTAATAAAACTGCCCAAAAGCTTAATAAAAATATTCATATAAAATATTGTCCTCCTAAATATATTTTAGGGGCTGTTTGGTTTCCAATAAAATGAGTATAAAACAATTGTTTTTTTATGAAATTTTAAAATAATAGTATTTAGTTGGATGAAAAAAAGAAAAATAAAATGAATAAATTATAAAATATTTTAGTTGATTTTTCAGATTAAGTAAACTTGTTCATTTTTTTTAAAGTAAAAACAGTTTTCACCGTAGCAAGTTCTCTTGCTGCCACTCATCGCCGCCGCCACCTTGATCCACCCACCACCGCCACTCGCTTTTATCGACACTCACCACCGGCACCCATTGTTATACGTCACCGCCACTTCCGCCATCAATTTTCGAATTTACATTAATCCAAATAACTACAAAATATTCATTTTACATGCCAATAATTTTTTCAGACAACCAAACGGCCCTTTATCTCCATATCTAATAGCACTTCACCCAAACTTTACCGAACGAAATGGACAATTTCTAGAAACAAAATATTCATTTTACACAACATGAACAGTCCGGCGAACTTCACCCTCTTCCTCAAACAGAGAGCAAGAAGAAATCCTGAACCTCAGAAACAGCTTCAGTCACAATCCGGTCGCCGGCGGCGAGGCAGCTCTACTCAATAAGCGAAACAAGGTGATCTATCAGCTCCTCCTCACAGGGAACCCGCAGCGGCCCGCAAGCCACGTTGCCGAACTCTTCCTCTGCAACCTCCAGAAGAACTCTAAAGATTGGGTGGTCTAAATACTTAAGGGGCACTAGGAATCGCTTGCCTCCTTTAGCGTAGAAGACGAAATGGCCTTTGCTTTTCTTTCTCCTACTTTCCTTTGAAGCCAGTCCACGCCATTTGCTCGCAATTAGCTCGCCCAGTTTGTTCGAGCTCATACTTGTTTGTATTTGACCGTTGGAGGAAGGAGGAAGATGAGTTGCAGTGGATGGTTAGAGGGAGGAAGGGAAGATGATAAGGTGGAGGGATGTGGAGTGATTGAGTGTGGAGAGCATCTGCACTGTTGCAGAGTGGGAGATTGATGAGGAGCGGCATGTGACTACTTGAGGCTCCCACAATAAAATTAAGTCCAAGCAATCTTTATGGAACATCGAAAAGGACGGTTTGTCTTTTCTTACATCTTCCAGTCCTGTACTCATTAAAAATGTGAAAACGATGCGCCTATTGTCCTCCTTTGCCTACAATTTCTTTTGTTTTTTTGGCTTGGGAAGGGAAATTATTATGTGCGGATCCAGATGATGTTCGAAGATCAATAAGAACTCATCATGTCATTGTTTTGCTCAGTATCATTATTCCGTACTGCTATGTATTGGGTGACGTGATGAGTTCTGGTTAATCTCCTGACTGTCTGGTGCCCGTATAGAATAATTTCTCTTGGGAAGGAGATATGGCGGATCGAGCTAAATCTTGTTAGTTGACGTAACAACTTTCTCCTTATTGATCCATGTTCTAATCGCTTAATTAATCGGCTCAAAAAAGACTCATTGTTGTAAGAGTTGATAATGTTGGTATTGGTCAGCACAAATCAGGAGATGATCGATGTCGGAGTTACTTAGTGGAGGACAATGATGATCGAAAAATCATAGTCGGTCATTAATTGTTAGACAATGATATTCAGGTGATGACAATTGTATGAAAATGACAATTATATGATAATGAGTAAGAGTACCTAACAATTTCAAAAGTTGAATGGGACTCTAATCTGAAGTTAGTCCCTTTTATTAGTTATTTAAAATTCAATAATTTATTCATATAAGAGCCACTATTTATATAGGTAAAAATAAATAAATAAAAATATTTTTAATGATGATGATATACTATAATAATGAATATTATAAATATTGACTTATTTTGTAATATTTATATGATAGTAAATTATTTTAATAATTCAAAACAAAATTATTATTATTGTTGCGTCCTGGAATATTCGCGGCGGTAGAGAAATATATGGTTTAACGTCTTAGCGTTGTACGAAGATCCAGCACACAATCAGATAAGTGAGAGGGTGTAGCGTTCATAAGTGCTCTCGGAATTAATTTTTATAGTTTCCAACTAGCTTTTGCCTCGAGATTCGTGCCCGATCAAGCTAATTTGTGATGCCGTATCAATTATAAAGATTAGATATTTTTTTTTGAAATTTATATGATAATATGAAAATTTAATAAATTCTAATATTTCATGATTGGTCTTTATTAGAGGCTATAATGGATAAGATTTGACCTTGGGAATGAAACATGGAATTTAATATAGTAATAAAATATTTCCATGCAAATTCAAATTCATTGCACCAAATTCTATATGCAAGCACCTTACCTACCATGCAATAATGCATTCAATTTATTGAAACGTACATCCCTTGCATATTTTTTTATGTTTGTCACTAGCATATGAAACAGCTAAGATAAAGGGGCATGCACAAAGCGAACAATTATTTAGTCCGGTGAACGTACGCTCCTCTACGTTCGGCCACCAATGTTATAACGCCACGTAGCTTGAAGAAAAGTCGCCGACCCGACCCACTGTGTTTTGGGTTTTCGCACGTGTTAAAATTTAAATGGAAGTTCGCACAAAGCACAAAGAAATTATTATGTGCGGTCTCCAAATCGTCTGTAAATTAATTATGATGCGTCATATCATTCGATACACAATAGTATATAATAATTGTGCATAATAAATTGGTGACTTGACGTATCCTGATTGGCCTCCAGACAACATCCGGTGACCACACGTAATAATTTTGTATATCCACAAGTGTTCTCCACTAAGTCTTGATTTGGGTTTAAAATATTTTCTAATAAAAAAAATTATACTAAAAAGCAATAAGAAAGATGTTTAAAATAAAGCCTAGATTATCCAATGAATTGACTGATCATGCTCATACTTTAAATGGGAATAATTACTTATAAAATTAAATGATTTATTAAGCCATTAAAATAAAATTAGAATAATGAGTTAGATAAAATATAAATTGATAAGGTAGAATATTTTTTAATATGGTTTAAAAAACTTCAGTTGGATGAGCATGAATTTTGATGTAATATTTAAAAAAATTATAATTTAAATATAGAATCATTTGAAGACCGATCTCGACAAATTTATAGTAAAATTGAGAATTTTGATAAAACAAATTCATCAATATCAAAGCGAACCAATCAATGTCCAAATAAGCTCAAATCAAATATTTGAGTGATAGTTATAAACTTTAGCACATTAATTGAAGGATCAAATGATATTTGAAATCTTGCATACTTATATTTTTTTATCTATTGGACATTCTTTTTTATATATGTGTGTGTATGTTGGATCTTCGTGAAAGCTAATATGTTGAAATTCAATTTTTTTTTCTGTGAATTTTCTAACACAACAATTTTCATCAAATTTAAGACAGAATAAGTTTTTAACAGTTAAGTTTATTTTTAAATAATGCAGTATCGACTAATTTTGTTTTTATAAGGGCATTGTCATGAACCTAGCATAATAATATACGGTGGTAAGTGAGCCAATCCGGTTCGTAAATCAGCTCAAACTTGATTCGTTAACAAACTCGCAAGTCGAACTTATCGAGTTTACATTTGAGGTTATATATAATTAAAGCTCGAGCCCAAGTTTGGCCCAACTATGCTCGTGACTTATCAACCAATTCGATTAATATTAATTAAGCCATTGACATTAATTTTTGCAAACTATTTTATCACTGCTAATTACAGTTTAAGCATAAGCCTTCCACATCATAGTTTATGTTTACAATATAAGGAAACTATAAACTAATTAAACAACTTATCCTAAGCACAATATTGAGGTTAGAAAACTCTGATTAGTGAAGAAGAATAAGAAAGTAACAATTTGGAGAAAAAAAAAAGAGAATTTAGGCTTGAAAATGTAATAAGTGGTGGTGTTAAACTGTTAATTTGAAATAATAAAAAGTTAATAGATCATCACCATTGGCCGTGAAGTAGTCAAAAATTAAAAGAAAAAAAAAAAAAAAAAAAAAAAAAACTATTAGCACATATTGGCGATCATAACAATGTTCATAATAAAGGAACACAAAAAATGTAAGGATTTGATCCATTTGAAAAGTGATCCCACTTAAAGGCTTAGTAAGAATGACAAGAATAAAAGAGAATATCATATCATAAAAATTTAAGTGATTACTTCTTTACTTATAATAAGAAGAAACTAATTCGTCTACCCAAGTTATATTAAGGTGATTTATTTAGAGTAGATCTTGAAGCTCTTGAACATCGGCTTTCTATTTATATTATCGATATGTGTAATAATTAGGGGTGTCAATTTTTGACACGACACGAAAACCCGACCCGGACCTGCCGGGTTGGACCCGACCCGATTTCAAAACGGGTCGGGTTCGGGTTCCAGAAATCGACCCGTTTCAAAAAACGGGTCGGGTTCGGGTTGACCCGGCGGGTTGCCGGGTCAACCCGCCAACCCGTTTAATTCAAAAAATTTCGAAATCCCGCCCTCTGCCCGCTGCCCCCGCCCCCTGCCCGCTGCCCGCTGCC